CTGGAAGTAGGCCGACAGCAGCACGTCCCAGCCCTTGCGAGCCTGCCGGACTGGGCGGCGCGAGGCCGAAAGGGCGCGAAGAGGCGGGGGGGGCAGCGCGGCAGGCTTCGGCCGCGGCAGCGGCGGCAGCCGTGCCGCCACGAACGCCGAGGCGCTGGCGCCGCTGGTGCCGCTCGCCTGGCCCCCCTACGGCGAGCGAGGAGGAGCTCGCCCTCCGCCTGGCGGCCGTGGCCCCCCGCCATCGCAAGGTGATGCTCGGGCAACGTCAAGACCTCCAAGCCCGCGGGGGACTGCCCCTGGCCCGAGCAGGAAGGGCGGCCCGGGATCCAGATCGCAGAGGCCCAGGAGGGCCAGAGACGTCCCCGCTGACTTCCCTGCACGGGGCGGACCCCGAGGGAAGCCAGGGCGAGAAAGAGGCACGCCCGCAGAGGAAATCATGCTCTGCCGAGCGTTGGCCTTCGCCCAAAGAGAAGGGCATTGGCTAGACGTAGAGACGCACGTAGGACCGAAGTTTCGAGTAAGGCCTGGTAGATGCGACGACGGACACCCAAGCTGAAAACAGCATGCAGCCGCTGCCGTGTGTGTGGCACACTGGAAACAACAGGAGTTGCCTTGGAGCCAGGCTGGCAGTCCATAGACCGAATGAACCAACCGCAGCCAAACTTTACATTATATCGTAGCACCCCGCAGATGCGGATAAGAGCAAGGGGGCGGTGGGGAAGTCGACAGTTTGCGAGACTCTGGAGAAGCTCCCCGCAGGCGCAGAAGTTTCACAAGTTCGGAGGTTGGGGGGTGAGTCCGACGTGAAACGGAGACCCCCCCCACCGGGAAATCGATTTCAATTTCGGGTTCGTGTCGTGCGTGCCGTGCGTGCGTGCGGGCAGGGCGAAGCTGCGTGGGCGGGCGAGAGGAAATCCTCCTGTGGCTGGGCCGCGGCCGGACCACATGTAACTCCTCCGGCGGCCGGTGCCCCGCGGTGTTCCGCCGGTGTCCCGCGGGTGTCCCGAAATCCTCCTGTGGCTGGGCCGCGGCCGGACCGAATGTAACCCCTCTGGCGGCCGGTGCCCCGCGGTGTCCCGCCGGTGTCCCGCGGTGTCCCGTGTTGTCCCGTGGTGTCCCGTGGTGTCCCGTTGAGTGAGATCGATCGTGAAATCGATAGTGAAACCGATGCTGAGATCGATGTGGTGCCCCGAGGTGTCCCGTGGTGTCCCGTTGAGTGAGACCGATAGTGAGATCGATAGTGGGATCGACTGGTGTCCCGTGCTGTCCCGTTGAATGAGATCGATAGTGAAATCGATACTGAGATCGATGTGGTGCCCCGAGGTGTCCCGTGGTGTCCCGCTGAGTGAGATTGATAGTGAGATCGATAGTGAGATCGATAGTGAGGTCGACAGGTGTCCCGAGCTGTCCCGTGGTGTCCCGTTGAGTGAGATCGATAGTGAGATCGATCGTGAGATCGATTTGGTTCCCCGAGGAATCCCGTGGTGTCCCGCTGAGTGAGATCGATAGTGAGATCGATAGTGAGACCGATAGTGAGATCGAGAGGTGTCCCGCGGTGTCCCGTGGTGTCCCGTGGTGGCCCGTGGTGTCCCGTGGTGTCCCGTTGAGTGAGATCGATACTGAGATCGACAGGTGTCCCGTGGTGTCCCGTGGTATCCCGTTCAGTGAGATCGATAGTGAGATCGATTGAGTCAAATGTTGCTTCCCCCCCTCTCCCCCCCCCACAACCTCCTTATCACCCGAAGGGTGGTCGTATAGGTATACAACGAGACCGCCGCAGGCGCATATTTTTTCGTTGAACCAATGTGGGTAGGTCGCGGGGTGGGTCGCGGGTGGGGTCGCTGCTGGGTCGCGGGTGTAGAAGGCAGAAAATCCACCCCATACTGTGAATCACCCCGACAAACGAAGCCAGTTAGTAAACGCACACATGGAATGAATCGAACATGGCAAGGCTGTTCAGTCAACGGCCAGGGCCGTTTAGTAAACGTCAATTGTCGGGTCCGGGTGGTTTTTCCTCCCTTGAGGGTGGATCGCGGGGGGGGTCGCGGGTGGGTCGCGGGGTGGGTCGCGGGTGGGTCGCGGATGAGTCGCGGATGGGTCGCGGGGTGGGTCGCGGGTGGGTCGCGGGTGGGTCGCGGGTGGGTCGCGGGGTGGGTCGCGGTTGGGTCGTGGGGTGGGTCGCGGATGGGTCGCAGGGTGGGTCGCGGGTGGGTCGCGGGGTGGGTCGCGGGGTGGGTCGCGGGTGGGTCGCGGGTGGGACGACGACAACAACAAACAACAACAAACAACAACAACAACAACAACAACAACAACAACAACAACAACAACAACAACAACAACAACAACAATTACTAGCACGTGGGGACACTCCGTTCTCACCAGTGCCAGGGTTTTCATAGGAGGCGGGCAATACCCCCACTTTGTGGGGGGGCCGGTTCAAGCTCTACCAAATTTCCAAACGACTCTTCGCCACCACCCACACCCAGCTTCCCGCCCTATGACGTTCGGACACTTCACTTCGTGGCATGCGGACGACCGTGGCTACTATTCAGGGCCCCGCGGCCGACGACGACGGCGTGCGCGCGCGAAGAAAAAACGAATGTGTCCCGCATGGTATTATTTGACAGGGATGATGGCCCTGGCAGGTGCGCAACCGTTGTTGCAGAAGTTCGAAAAAGTTGCTCGCAAAAGCCCGTTTGACAGAAATGTTTAAAAAGTGTTGGGTTTCCTACGAATCCGCAAGAGCGCGCGGGATGAAATTTTGTCATTTTTTTTTAAACCATTGGTTTTTTTTTTGATGTTTTTATGTTAAAATCGCTACGAAAACTAAGGTTTTGGAAGGATTTCGTCTTGCGCGCGCGAATGTCCACTTTACCTTATTTGTTGCAAGGGATTCTTGAAATGTGGTTATGTTAGAACAAGAAATGTCATTTTATATTGCTTTTTGTAAGGGAAAGCGGGGGGGAACAAAACAACCGGATCCGGACCAACCCGTTTTGCCGGAGACTTCCTCACGAAAATGATGAAAACATGGCTGCGGCCTAGGCGCGGCGAGGGGGCCGTGCACCAGGGGTCCCAACAATAATTATTCTTTAGAAGTAATAATGTTCAACAACAACAACAACAACAGCAGCAACAACAACAACATCGTCAACAGTAACATCAACAACACCAACCACAGCAACGACAACAACACCACAACAACACCACCAGCAACAACCATAACAACACTAACAACAATAACAACAATAACAACGCTAACAACACAGACAACAATAAGAACAACGCAACAAGCAGGCTTGCCACCTCGAACTCCTTATGCAGCCACGCGCCCAGGGACAATGAATGACCGTTCGGCCCCCTCACGCTGATGTATATACAACTTTGTTTACACACGTACATACATACGTGTGTGTACGTACATACATACATACAGACATATACATATATATGTGTGTGTGCAAGACTGCATTGGCGCTGCGCGCCGTGCACCTTGGTCCTGTGAGTTCTGCACGCAAGCGGAATGCGTGCGTGCGTACGTGCGCGCATGCATGTATACACGCGCACGTGCATGTACGTTCCGTATAAATGTCTAGATGTGTACAGCATACTTGCATTGTTGTGTGTGTGTACAGCGGACATATGTACATATAACTCTATGTGTTTAACGGTATGCACATGCATAGGCAACTCGTACGGGGCATCCTCGGGCATCTTCGCTGCATGCCACGAGACCCTCGACGACTGGGTCACAATGTGAAATGTCATGGGAGCAAAATCACTGAATGCTGGCATTCGAAAACATTGTGGGGGTGTTTTCGGGGCCCTCGTGGACCGTTTTGGCGCCTTCACGGGCCATCCTGGGGCCTTCTTGGGCCGTCTTGGGGAGCTTGGGCCCGCTGGAGCCCCCTTTGGACCCATCTTGGGGGCACTTCGGGGGACCTCCCATGGCCCTTTTGGGTCTGTGCTGGGAGCCCTTGGGGGGCCTCTTGGTTCCATTATGGGCTGTCTTGGGGCTCTCGTGGGCGATCGTGGGGCCCGGCTCGGCCGTCTTGAAGCTTTCTTGGGGGCCTTTTGGGGCGTCTGGAGGCGATCTCGGGGACTTTGAAACCGTCTTGAGAGCTGATGAAATCCGAAAGGCGAATCTGTTAAAATTGTAAATCTTACGAAGGGAATGGCACGATTTTTGTGGTTTGAAGACCCCTTGGAAAGCTTTGGGGTGCCTTGGGGGTCTTTATGTTGGCATTCGAAAACATTGTGGGGGTGTTTTCGGGGCCCTCGTGGGCCGTTTGGGCGCCTTCATGGGCCGTCCTGGGGATTTCTTGGGCCCTCTTGGGGAGCTTGGGCCCGCTGGCGCCACCTTTGGACCCATCTTGGGCACTTCCGGGGACCTCCCATGGCCCTTTTGGGTCTGTGCTGGGAGCCCTTGCGGGCCTCTTGGTTCCATTATGGGCTGTCTTGGGGCTCTCGTGGGCGATCGTGGGGCCCGGCTCGGCCGTCTTGAAGCTTTCTTGGGGGCCTTTTGGGGCGTCTGGCGGCGATCTCGGGGGCTTTGAAATCGTCTTGAAATCTGATGAAATCCGAAAGGCGAATACGCTAAAATTGTAAGTCTTACGAAGGGAATGGGACGATTTTTGTGGTTTGAAGGCCCCTTGGAAAGCTTTGGGATGCCTTGGGGGTCTTTATGTTGGCATTCGGAAACATCGTGGGGGTGTTTTCGGGGCCCTCGTGGGCCGTTTTGGCGCCTTCATGGGGCGTCCTAGGGCCTCTTTTTTTTTGTACATCCCTGATCCCCAGAGCCGCCCCTGAACGTATCTGGTGAAGCATTAGAAGCCACACACCCTTCGCCACTGCGCTGTGCAGCGGCTCCCAAAAGGGGGCGATGACCGTGAGCATGCCAGCGGCCTCGCGAGCCGCCCTGGTGGCGCCCGCCACGGGGCGGCTCCGAGGGCCCCGCAGCAACTGAAACATCTTGCACTGCCAAAGAGGAAGAGGAGGGGGAGGAGGAGGAGAAAAACACAACTGCCTGGCTCCTCCAGGCGTTTGCCACTACACGGTGCCTCCGTGCAGTAACTCGCAGTCGAGCCTCGAAGTGCTGCTCCACCGTGCCAGGAATGCCGAGACGACGGTTATTGTGGGACGCAACGAAAGCATCTATACAAACGGCAAACAGAACATTAGATGACATCGGTGAAGGTGACAGCAGAAGAAAGGGGAGGAGCCAGGGAGAACCCTCAGGTAACCACGACGACGAGATAAATAAGTGACCAAGCCAACGACGGAAGAGAGCAGCAAGACGGGGGCAACGACTGTAGTGCTCGACAGAATCAAGATCCTGAGAACCTTCATCTCGGCATCCCAACAGGCAACCAGCAGATCTGGTATGAAATCTTCGAGGGGAACACAGACCACGGCACAAGAAACGATAAATGCCTACCAATAGATATGGTTGGGTTCTCTCGACTAGAACGAACGAGTTCAGGAAGAAACGATCCATCACAGGGAGGGAAAGCTGAGGGAACCAGGCCGAAACTCGACGATAGAGAATACTGCGGGCATCTTCTCGAGGACCGAACTGCTTAAGACAGCGAGCATACAGTAGTGCTTGGAGCTTGAGGCTAGACTCATTAACACGCATCGGGATGCTCATGTACCATGCATGCAGGGTGCGCATATATGAAAGAAAGCTGGATTTCCACCAGCCGGTGCGAACCCGAACCATAATCACGTCATCGTCGAACTCAAGGGCAGACAGACGGGCGAACACCTCTAGAACAGCAGGGCGCCTCATAATATACCGCAAGCAGGTCGCTCGGGCCAACGACGCAAGCTCAGGAAACTCAACTGGAATATTAAGCTGGCGTAGCTGTGTACACATCGCATAACTGAATGCATTCCTCGGCCCAGCCGTGAGGAACATGACCGACTCACGGTAGGCGTGTAATAGCTGCTTGCTAATGGGGTTGAGCTGAAGAATAAAGCCAAGCACGGAGACACACATGACACGGAAAGCAACAGCAGCACGAGTAAGGCCCAAGCCCAGACGGCGAGAGGTCCCCACGCGAAGCCTAAACTTGGGCCCTCTTGGGGAGCTTGGGCCCGCTGGAGCCCCCTTTGGACCCATCTTGGGCACTTCGGGGGACCTCCCATGGCCCTTTTGGGTCTGTGCTGGGAGCCCTTGGGGGGCCTCTTGGTTCCATTATGGGCTGTCTTGGGGCTCTCGCGGGCGATCGTGGGGCCCGGCTCGGCCGTCTTGAAGCTTTCTTGGGGGCCTTTTGGGGCGTCTGGCGGCGATCTCGGGGGCTTTGAAACCGTCTTCAGAGCTGATGAAATCCGAAAGGCGAATATGCTACAATTGTAAATCTTACGAAGGGAATGGCACGATTTATGTGTTTTGAAGGCCCCTTGGGAAACTTTTTGGGGTGCCTTGGAGGTCTTTATGTTGGCATTCGGAAACCTCGTGGGGGTATTTTCGGGGCCCTCGTGGGCCGTTTTGGCGCCTTCATGGGCCGTCCTAGGGCCTTCTTGGGCCCTCTTGGGGAGCTTGGGCCCGCTGGAGCCCCCTTTGGACCCATCTTGGGCACTTCCGGGGACCTCCCATGGCCCTTTTTGGGTCTGTGCTGGGAGCCCTTGGGGGCCTCTTGGTTCCATTATGGGCTGTCTTGGGGCTCTCGCGGGCGATCGTGGGGCCCGGCTCGGCCGTCTTGAAGCTTTCTTGGGGGCCTTTTGGGGCGTCTGGAGGCGATCTCGGGGGCTGTGAAACCGTCTTGAAAGCTGATGAAACCGTCTTGAAAGCTGATGAAATCGGGGGCTGCGCGTGCGCAGAAGCGCCAGCCCAACTCCGCCACCCCGATCACGCGGAAGCCGATGGCGTGGAGCAAACGGAGCCTCCCTCAGCGCCTGCGCAGACGCTCTGGCAAGTGGCCGCGCCACAGCATGAGCAGGGGGGGCCACCTCCCTCCCGAGGTGAACCAATGCTCACACGAACCGTCGACTTGCTGGTGCGACGGCGTCGGGTCATCCGGCCAGCTCGAGAGAGGTCCACGACCACTGGCAGACGACGCGTCGCCGCTCCTCCCGATAAGCGACGTCCTTCCGATGACCACTGCGCCGGCGCTCACCAGGTGGAGGGCGAGGAAGAAGATGAAGACACATGACCATGATACAAAAAAAGCAGCAACACAATATCAGGACGAGCAGGAGGACGAGGAGGGGGAGGAGTCGCACGAGGAACAGCTTGCACAGGTGAAGGTGCAGAAGCAGGATCAGGACTGGGAGCAGGCACAGGAGGGGGAGGACGAGGAGGAGGAGGCTCCAGATGGGGAGAGGAGCCAGAGCAGGAAAGACAGGAGGAGGAGGCGGAGGAGGAGGAGGAGGAGAACGAGGAGGAGGAGAGGCGGAGGAGACGGAGAGGCGGAGGAGGAGGAGGAGGAGGAGGAGGAGGAGGAGGAGGAGGAGGAGGGGGAGGAAGAGGAGGAGGATAAGACGCTGCTGGGAACCGTCGCGCTGAGCACAGGACGGCCACCTGAGAGTGGGGAGGCAAAGACCTCCCCTCGGTGCCACAGTCGTGCCTCGCCCACCCGAGGCGATGAACAGCATGAGGACGAAACCGCTCGCAAGGGCCGACGAAAGCCCAGGCAGCCGCTGGGCGCCCCTCCACCATTCCCTCCGCCCTCTCATGACGCCTGCCTCCCCTCCCCCTCTCCCTCCCTTCCTCCCCGCCTCAGCACTTCTGCTTCTCACGCTAATCTCTCCTCCGCAGCCCCTTCCCTCCTACGTCCTCACCCCCTCCTCACTCCACCATTACGCTCCCCTCGCCCCACCACCGAGTAGCTCCTTTCCCTTCCTGCATCCTCCCTCCTCCCTCCTACCCCTCCCATGCTCCCTCATTCCTGCATCCACCTTCCTCCCTGCCTACCTCTTCCCCTCCCTCCCTCCCTCTCCTCCCTCCCCCTTACTTTGCTCCCTCACGCACGCGGGTGGCCTCCCACTTGAAGACGGACAAAAAGCGGTACCGCTGCTTGCCCGAGGAACTGGATGAGCCCATACCTGGCCGCTCTCCACTGGCTTTCGGCGGCACCCTCCCTTCCTCTCTCCCCCCCTCCGTTTGCCTCCCCAGTTCTTCCCACCCCAACAACACATTCGTGACGCCTGCTGCTCGCCTCTCTCCCATGACAGCGCCCAGCCGTGCCCTCGCCCCTTGCGAGTGCGGTTTTTTGACACGTTGAGTTGTTATACGCGTGTTCAGTCAGGGCGTCCTCTGTATGGTCCTTCGCGCTTTTTCCAAAGCGGGGGGGGCGAACGGTCTTTCATGATCCCTAGGTCCCTAGGCGCCTGGCTGAAATGAGGCCCCGCGGTGCGGATTCTTGTTGTTGCGTTGCTGTCAACTCTTAATGGTCGTTTTTTTGGACGCCCTACAGTCGGGGCCTTGACCTAAGGAACCCAAAATAAGGAACGAGGCCCCTTTTCCCATAAGTCAAACTTCGATTTCCGATCGAAAACATAAGGAAAACCTGAGGCAAGCTGCGAAACACTTAAGGAACGCGGAACCCCTCTCCAACGAAAAGGGTTCCTTCTTCAGGGCCCCGACTGTACATCCGCCCTGGCTCTCTCGCCTAGGAGCTGGCTGCATTTCCGCTGAAAGTTAGGCCCATACCAGATCCTTTCGGGGGATCGCCGAAGCGCCCCCTATCAACAACAACAACAGCAGCAGCAACAACAACAACAACATGAACAACAACAGCAACAGCAACAGCAACAGCAGCAACAACAACAGCAAACGCTACCACAACAACAACACCAAGACCAACAACAACAGCAACAACAACACACATGACACCACCACCACCACCAACCGCAACAACAACACCAACAACACCAACAACACCAACCACAACAATCGCAACAACAACAACACCAGCAACACCAGCGACAACAACAACATTAACGCTCAAGCTCGATACTTCCACCTTTTCTGCTCGGGACCGGGGCAACTGCTCGCCGCCGAAGATCGGCTTTCCACCAAAACCGGCGCTCCCGCTCGGTACGTCCTTGTCTTTTACTCAAGACCGACGCTCCCGCCCTGGCGCCGCAGACGACCCCCCTGCAGACGACCCCCCCGCTTGATACCGCCTGTGCTTTATTTTAGATTCCCAGAGGCCCTGGGGCTAACGCTCAAGCGTTTCGGGGTTCCCGGGGGAGTCCGCGGCTGTCTCCTGCAGGCGGCCTGGCGCTCTCGCCTCGGCGCGCGGAAGCTTGCGGCGATGATGCCGTCGTCGTCGTCGTCGTCGTCGTCGTCGTCGTCGTCGTCGTCGTCGTAGTCGTCGTTGTTTCTGTCTCCTCCTCCTCCTCTTCCTCCTCCACGTTTCCTCGTACCCTCCCCCTTCCCTTTCCCCCTCCTCCTCCTCCTCCTCCTCCTCCTCCTCCTCCTCCTCCTCCTCCTCCTCCTCCTCCTCCCCGTGCCAATGCTGTTCTATACTCCTCTGGGGGAGTCGGCTGGGGACGCACGGGGCGCCACTAAGGGCGTGGATTCCCCACGCCCGACGAGCACCCCAGCCGAGCCCCCAGGGGTGTGAACAGCGGGGCGACAGTGGCAAGAGGCACGCTCAAGTGCCCTCCCAGCACAAGGAGGATGCGTCGACCCAGACCGGACCTCCTCCAGCAGTGCTTCTATTGCCCACCTTGCAGGTTCGGGTCGGAAAGCCACAGGCCCCGCCTGTGTGGTCACCCTGGGGGAACACGTTTCGCCAGTGACAGTCTAAGCATGGCCCTCCTGAGCGAGGTCGACACCAGCTGCCGGTCGGCTCCGCCAGATGGTCTCAACGAGGCAGCCAGAGGATTTATCCTCCAGGAGCCTGCCAGCAATACTGGCGATCCTACACACCTTCCTTAGGAGGCATGCGCCTCCATGACACTGCCCGGAGAAAATGCCGGCGCTTGTCTTGTCAATTTTCATTCGAACAAGTCGGAGTGTCGTCATTCACACTATGTCTGGTGGGACCCCGCCGGTTTGTGTGAATCTTTAGAGTCGGCACTTTACTTCAGTCGCGAGGCAGTTGCCTCAAGGACGCAACTGGAGGCAAGGCCTGTAGTCCTGCACACCCATACGCGTCCCCCTCATCCCCTCTCCTCCCCCCATATTCCGCCACCCCCCGGCGGCCGACCGGGCCACGTGCATCCTCAGACCCTGCACGCTGGCCCTTGTCGCGAGGCAGTTGCCTCAAGGACGCACCCGGCGGCAAGGCCGGTAGTCCTGCACACCCTTACGTGTGCCCCTCATCCCCTCTCTTCCCTCCATACTCCGCCACCCCCTGGCGGCCAGGCTAGGCCACGCGCATCCTCAGACCCTGCACGCTGGCCCTTGTCGCGAGGCAGTTGCCTCAAGGACGCAACTGGCGGCAAGGCCGGTAGTCCTGCACAACCATGCGCGTCCACCTCATCCCCTTTCCTCCCTTCATATTCCGCCACCCCTTCCTGGCGGCCAGACCGGGCCACGTGCATCCTCAGACCCTGCACGCTGGCCCTTGTTGCGAGGCAGTTGCCTCAAGGACGCACCCGGCGGCAAGGCCATTAGTCCTGCACACCCTTACGTGTCCCCCTCATCCCCTCTCGTCCCTCCATATTCCGCCACCCCCCTGGCGGCAAGACCGGGCCACGTGCATCCTCAGATCCAGCACGCTGGCCTTTGTCGCGAGGCTGCCTCAAGGACGCACCCGGCGGCAAGGCCGGTAGTCCTGCACACCTTTACGTGTCCCCCTCACCCACTCTCTTCCCTCCATAGTCCGCCACCCCCTGGCGGCCAGACCGGGCCACGTGCATCCTCAGGGCCTGCACGCTGGCCCTTGTCGCGAGGCATTTGCCTCAAGGACGCACCCGGCGGCAAGGCCGGTAGTCCTGCACACCCACTACGCGTCCCCCTCATCCCCTTTCCTCCCTCCAAATTCCGCTTCCCCCTGGCAGCCAGACCGGGCCACGTGCATCCTCAGACCCTGCACGCTGGCCCTTGTTGCGAGGCAGTTGCCTCAAGGACGCACCCGGCGGCAAGGCCGGTAGTCCTGCACACTCTCACGTGCCCCTCTCACCCTCCCCGCCCCCCCCCCTGTTCCCATCCCTCCCTCCCTCCCACCTCCTCTTCCTACTCATTCCCGTCGAGGTCTTTACCTCGAGGGCTTCACTTCGTGGTTTCTATCTCTGGATGTGTCGTCATTCACACTGTTTCTAGTGGGGCCCCGCCGGTTTGTGTGAATCTTTAGACTCGGCACTTTACTTCGGTCGCGAGGCAGTTGCCTCAAGGACGCAACCGGCGGCAAGGCCGGTAGTCCTGCACACCCTTACGCGTCCCCCTCATCCCCTCTCCTCCCTCCATATTCCGCCACCCCCTGGCGGCCAGACCGGGCCACGTGCATCCTCAGACCCTGCACGCTGGCCCTTGTCGCGAGGCAGTTGCCTCAAGGACGCACCCGGCGGCAAGGCTGGTAGTCCTGCACACCCTTACGTGTCCCCCTCAGCCCTTCTCTTCTCTCCAGTTAAGCGAAGCCACGCGTGCACTAAACGGAGAGGGAGGAAGAGGAGGAGGAAGGAAGACGAGGACGGGGGAAGGACAAAGATGATATCTTTCAATGGCAAAACGGCCACGCGCACCACCCTGAAGGCGCGGGTCCGGCGGGACGCCGCGCCGCCCGCGCGCGCGCCCAGTGGCGCGCGCGCGCGTTCTGGCACGCCCTGCTGCCGCACGGATCTGGTGCCGAGCGGAGCAGGGTGCACAGGGAGCGAAGCGGGGTGGGTGGGCACCCGAGTCCTGGCTCGAACTCGAGCCAACGACTGCGGACCCAAAATGGCTATGGCAAAGCCCCCGCTTCCCTACGCTTAACCTGCAGTCTACCAACATCACAGACTATACAAGTTAAGCGAAGCCACGCGTGCACTAAACGGAGAGGGAGGAAGAGGAGGAGGAAGGAAGACGAGGACGGGGGAAGGACAAAGATGATATCTTTCAATGGCAAAACGGCCACGCGCACCACCCTGAAGGCGCGGGTCCGGCGGGACGCCGCGCCGCCCGCGCGCGCGCCCAGTGGCGCGCGCGCGCGTTCTGGCACGCCCTGCTGCCGCACGGCCAAAACCAAAAGAACGCAGCCGCGCGCGGGCGAAGGACGCCCGGGCGCGCGACCACTGGCCTGCAAGCCTGAGGCCTTCCTGGAGCGGGCGCCAGGCCGCCCCGGCTGGGCAGCGCCCCGCCGGCGGCGTGCAACGCGCGCCCGAGCTGGCCCCTACGGCCTCGCCCAGGCGTGGGGGGCTAAACGCTCCCCAGGGCCGCGCGCCGCCGGCCCGCCGGCGCGGGATCGCGCCCGCGAAAGGCGCTAGCCGCGCGCGTCGCGCCGGACGCGACATAGAACACGCAGAGAGCGAGCGCGCGCGTGCGAAAGCACACGCGCGAGCTGGAGGTGCAAGCTGGCTGCAGCCCAGAGGACGCCACGTGGCCCGAGCAGCCCGTCGCTCCCCCCGGTCCTCCTCCTTCTAATCCCCGTCGTCGGGCGGTTCCCCTGTGGCGGTCAGCGCGCGGCCCTCGATGCCCCATGCTGCCGGCGAACATGTCAACGTAGGTCGATCCGCTCGTCCCCGTCGTCGCGCCCTTCGGCATCCTCGTCGAGTAGGCCCTCGGCTGCCAGCTGCACCTCGACCAGGCCCTCCCGACACCAGGCGGCGTCGCCAGGCAGCTGGCGCAAACGGCCTCGCCGTCCGCCCCGCGGCCCTCAGCGGGCCCCCGGGTCGACTGTCGCGGGATCCGTAAGAGGCAAGCAACGCACCCGGTATGAGCGAGCAAGTGATGCGAGCAATGTAGCCACTGCTCCCTCGCTCGAGCTCGCCCAGCGGCCGCAAGAACTGCGCCACTGCGTCGTTGAACACTGCAATGCCCGTGAGCACCGGCATGTCGTCGAGCACCCGAGCGCCCTTGCAGCTGCGCACGCCCTTGAACACAAACACGTCGCCGATCAGCGCGCCGTCGAGCGCAGGCACGCTCGTGACCTCGTGCGTGCCCCGGGAACTGAGCG